AATCTGGTGTGAGCTTTATTAATACAAAAAATTATTGAAATCATGCATTCGCACTAATTGGGTGGGCTTTCTTTTTCTTCAAATATAATCCACGACAATAGGATATTCGCATAGTACTAAATCAAAAAGCAGAGTATATTTACTTTTGAAGATGTCAATATCTTTAATAAATGAAGCTTTGTTTTTATCGCTATTGTGTGTGTAGGACGTTCTTAAATTTATAATATTAAGATGCTTATTAATTAGCTGTACTACTCTGTACTCAGAAACCACAAAAACAGAAGCTTTTCTTGTAAACATTTAATTTTCTAACCCCTAACCTGGTTTGCCCGTATGGGCCACCAAAAGCCCACAACTGGTTTGCCCGTACGCTGTACAGGAACTGATATTTTCTTCTTTCTACCTATAATTTGCACATTTTTTTAATTCTTATACTAACTAGCTTAAGAAACTAGCTGGTATACCCATCCTTCGCACGGGTGAATTTAAAAATTAAAAAATACAGACTGAAGGATAAAGAAGTTTTTAATGAGTTAATTTTACGTGAATTGTATAAATTAAACCCAAAAAAAAAGCTTTTTGCGTAACTCAGCTGAACAAAAAAAACATGTTTGCTAAATTTTAAGTCTTTAGATATAATTGCTGATTTTTTTTATTGTTATTATTTTTTATGACGGCCCGTAACTTTCTTGTGGGTCGATTTTTGAAAACACCTACCTGCTCAGCAAAAGTAACACATTGTTACAAATTTTGTGTAATAAATGCTAAAAATAGTGTAAATAACTTTTATCTGGATGTGTAATACGTTAATATTACTTTCTGATGCAATTATTTTATGTTAAATAGTTGTTACCCGCGACTTCGTCCTCGGGGAATTTAACACACAAAAAAGTGTTTATTCACTTCGCAGAGTTTATGAAAACTTTTCTTCTACTTTGTGAATCTACGTTTCATTTTTGTTTTATTTTTTTCTTTGCTTTTTGTTGAGCAAGGGGTGAAAGGGACACATGACCTTTGACACTGTTGTTGGGGGACTAAAATCTTTGGGATCAAAATAGGTCTAAGTAGCAAGTAGGGTGAAACGCGAACATTATTTTGGTATTATTTTTTTATTTTTATCATTTAAATTGGTAGAAGAAAGGATGTTGGGCACTCTCAAAATTATTTTTAGTAACTACACTCATGTCCATAAATTAAGAATAAAGAAGGTTCAGTCAAAGAAAGAGACAGAAACAAAGCAAATGTGAGTTATTTGTAAGGCTTTTTTATTAAACAAAAGGTAAAGGGCAAAATAAAAGCTATACGTTTGATATCATTAATAAAATTTGCGATTTTAGCTCCATGGGACAAATTTAAAAAAAAAACTATTTACAAAAGCCAATATTACATGCTTGGTATGATGATTAATGCGTTGTGTGTCTCCCAGACAATGCAATGCAGTCCATACAACGTTTAGGCATGCTGAGTATCAGATTACCGATCTGCTCTTGGGGAATATTACACCACTCATCATGTAATGCTCTCTTTAACTCCAGTAGACATGTAGGAGATAATTGACAGGCTAAAACTCGCCAGCCAAGTATGTCCAACACATGCTCTAATAGATTCAAGTTCAATGAGAATGCTTGCCAGTCCATACGGGTGATATCCTCCAATTGTAAACAATTGTTTACGAAGTTTTCATGGCTAGGAAAGAGGTTATCATCCATAAACATAAATTCTGCACCCGAGGTGCCCCAAATAGACTTACATGTGGTTCCAAAATGATGTCTGATTTGATTCTGTCATGATAGATGGATATAGAATAGATTTGGTCTGCCATGGTTCCAATTTCAACATGCAGGTCAGTTCTGTAACCTAGAATAACCCCCCTTTCCAAACGGGCAATCCTGCACCACCGAAATGGTGTCATTCATTGATATTCTCTTGGTGGTAACGGGTACCTTGTGCTCTCCGTGTGAAAGTCCGGTGGAAATCAGACTTCAAGCTGAACCGGAACTCGTAGAAAACATCACACAAGCTCACTGTTGCGGTGTCCACAATGGATGCTCTCTACTCCAGGCGACAGTGAGTTTCAGTAAGTGGAACACATCTGACAGTTCTCGACCAAACTGTCGCACCAATGGCTGAAGAGAGCTGTCGAGACAGGTCTGATGCTGTATTCTATCTTTTTCTTTTGGCAGTAACTGCCAAATATCTGTTCCCATTCACCGTTGTAATTTGGGGCAACCTGTTCTGTAACGTCTACTCACATTACTAAATCTTGGAATCGTTGCCAAAGTCTAGAGATGACACTCTAGGCAATTTCAAGTTCTTCGGATACTTCCCGCTGGTTACGCCTACGTTCCAGACAGCCGATAATTCTACCACTTAAAAAATCATCCAATAGTGTCCTTTGTGTCATAACTGTGTGGTTATTGCGCTGAAAAGCTTAAAAGAGCTTGCGAGCAATTTTACTTCCTTGCCTGTATTCCTTACACTCTCATCATTGTTACGTACTATCGGTGTCATCCAGTTTCTCCCTGTAATTATCATCATTCTTGAGATGTGTGTGATCTTTTTATGGGTGATTAGGTGATATATTCATTTTTAGAGTTCGATTGCCGCGTGATTCTGAATCATCCTTAATTTATGGACATAAATTTATTTTGTTGTACTTGACCATTTTTACCTCAATTTTCTGATGTTAATATTCAAAAAACATATGAAGATAAAAGTAAAATTGTTTCCGATAAATTAACTGTCACAATGTCCTCTGTTGGTGACTGAATGAATGTCAAAGTAATTTAGTGAACTCGAGAGGGATGCCTCTCCTTTTCCATAGCAGCCGCAATATGACACATGTCAACAACTAACTGCGTAAAAGAAAAGCGGCGCATCTAACACATGAGCTGTTAGTGTTATTCAGGATTTCACACAGTTCCCATTTTGTCTAAATTTCTACAGAAACCTAAATTCAAAAACCATTCTTTTCAATAAAAAAAGTGTGTGTGTACTTATGTACGCACAAAAAAAGTTATACTTCTTTGGCGCAACAAGATTAAAATATTTCTAAGAATCTTGAGCAGAGCAAGCTGGGCCAAGGACGAAAGGTGGTCATGAGCAGAGTTGAACGATACTAACCTTCAGTCAATTGGACCAGACAAACCTGAGATAATCATGATTTAAATAAATTTAAATACCCCCGCACAGGGACAATAAGACCAACAACATTGGGGGGGAAGGGTTTCGGCAGAATGTACCTGGAGATGAGTTGAAGCGAATGTGACACCTGAGACCTCACATTGAATGTCTCGGCGGGAAGAATCGTTCCTGAGAAAATTAAGACATCTGCCTGAAGAGTCCCCGAGTTATGGTCATTTTAAAATAACTAAAACATTTAAAACAATTAAATAAAATAGAAGCAGGGCACCCAGCAGTTCGAAACTGGGTCTGGTTGTGAGGAAACACAAAAGGAATCCATTCGATCCGGTCCAGAGTTTGTAGTTGCAAATGGAGTGATGCTAGCTCGGGAAAAGGAAACGAAACTAACTTCCCCCGGAGGTTACAACTGTAACGTAAATGGTCAGGTATATCCCAGAGATATACAGAGTAGTAAGTGATCCCAAAGTTTCATCCTTCTATCTCTGTAATATCGTTACGTCATGAAAAGATCGAACCCCATAGGAATAACATGGGGGTTCTAATTTTAGTGATAACGCCACCCCTAAACCCACTGTCTACACACGAATTATAACAGATGAAACAGCTCAGCGAGGAAAACCTATGGTCCGAATTTCATTAACAAATCTCAAAAATCCTCGGAGTTATGCGAGATTTAAAAAAATTCATAACTTTAAAATAATTTTAAAATGTTAAATATAGGTGAAGAAATGGGGCTATTGGTCCTGAAAAATATATCAAGGGTACTCATAAGAAGAACAATCGAATCCAGCCCGTGTGGTCGACCAAGGTGGCATAGGGTTCAAGTTATTTCTCGGGAAGCCCTGTAGGGGGGGAGGGGGCCAATTTCACTTAAAACTCGCGCTAATATGAAAATATGGCGGACCACCAAAAATCAAGTTCCAATTTCAATTGCTCAGGGGGGTGAAATTTTTTGTATAGTCCCCATAGGATTAACATGGGAACATGATATTTTAGTGCTTAATCCTTCCCTCTTACACAATGGAAATGAAGTAGATGACTGGATGGGTCTCGACGAGTGGAATAGTTGGTTCAAATCTCAAGCCCGATACTCGAACAGGAGCCAAGATATTGTGAATTTAAACAAAGTAAAAAAGTTTAAGAAAATTAAAAACTATGGAAGAAATAGCCCTATGAGCACACACACAAGCATGAAATTATAATAACTGGAAGAGCAGATAGAGAGGAATCGAATGAGCCAGGTCCGAATGGACCATGAGGATCGGGTGCCGAGATATTGGCCAAAAAGCTGTAGAGGGAGGGAATGCACAGGGAGGATGCGTCCCAATAGATATGGTTTATAACAATAGTTTTTATGATCCCCCAAATATCAGTCTCATAGCACCAAAAAAGGGGCACAACGGTGTGCGCGCGCATCGGTGTTGTGAAGGTATGTGCGTGCATCCGTGACGGTGTGAGCGCGGATCGTAAAAATTTACCCTCGTCCTATTTCCCTAACTCTCAAAAAGAGAGAAGTATAACTAATATAGTAAAGAAGTATTTTTTTGAGAATTTCGAAGACGGGAAAATGACCTGTCCCATTCTGTATATTTCTAGACAAGGCATTTTCGTATCCGTTCCTACGGAACGCAAAGCAAAAACTCGCTGACACGGTGGTATAGCTTAGTGGTAGAGCATTCGACTGCCCATCGAGAGGTCTCCGGTTCAAACCCGGGTGCCCCCTTCTTCTGGGAAGTGGAGGAAAATGTTTTTTGAAATTTTGTAGGCGGGAATGATCTGTCTCATTCTGTATATTTCTAGGCAAAGCATTTTCGTATCCGTTCCTACGGAACGCGAAGCAAAGGTTCGCTGACGCGGGGGGTATAGTTCAGTGGTAGAGCATTCGACTGCAGATCGAGAGGTCTTAGGTTTAAACCTGGGTGCCCCTTTCTTCAGGGAACTGAAGAGAGAGAGAGAGAGAAATATATTTTTCTAAGAATTTCGAAGGCGGGAATGATCTGTCCTATTCTGTATATTTCTAGACATAGCATGTTCGCATCCGTGACGGTGTGCGTGCGCATCGTAAAAATTTACCCTCATCCTTCTTCCCACAAATGCCCAATAAGAAGTATAACTTCAAAATATTTCTCCTATTTATTTTGCTTGTTTAATCAAAGTAAAATAATAAATTCGGAAAAAAAAAACTACAACAGTGCTAATTTTTTAAAAATTGTTTTGTAAGTTTTTTGACGAACCATAAATATTTTACATTTCCACATTGAACATAATTTTGTCCTTCTCCTATCCCAAACTAAACTCCTCATAGCACATCTTAAAAAAACAGCAACAAATTTATCGTGTCAATTGTCCATGGTTATGGCCTAATATTGTAAATGACTCAAACACAGATTTTCAAAGCTTTCCCACCACACTCAAGTGGTGAAACTCTGTATCAGACTTAGAAGCATTTCGAAAAGTGTGGGATGCTGAATCCAGAAGCAGCATCATGAGGACGACTATTTTGTTTAAAATCAAGATCGACACCATCGAGACTTTTGATTTTTATCATGCAGTATAGTTCATTTTGGCAATTTATTTTTGTATGGAAAAATTTTAGTGACAAAACTTTTCCAAACTATATAACAGTGAATTAATCAGTAGAAAGTTTTCGTTTGTACAAAAATTTATGCTTCTCTCTTAGTGTTTTCCACTCTTTTTCTGTATTTTTCTCTCTCGATCCCTCACTTTCCTTACGGCTGTTATCGGATCATGGCAGGCATGTCATGAGTTCGAGCCCAGTACCACCAAAGACCCGCCGTGTAGGGGATCGATGCTGCGAAATCTGTCGAGAGCTCAAACGTCCTCCCGTTGGTGTAGTAGTTAGGAGAGCGGGGTGCCAGCTCAGGTGTCGTCCACTTCACTTAACCATGGTACAAAATTAATTATATATATATATATATATATATATATATATATATATGGTCCGTCGCCAAAAGCCCTCGTGTAGCTGAACAGTGTGACGTTAATATTCACTCACTCACTCTCTATCTCTCTATGTGAGGGACTGTTAAATAAAACTACCACGCTATTTTATTTAACTTATTTTACTTTTTTATAATTACTATTATAAAAAAGAATAAAATTTTAAAATTACACAAATTTTGTATAACTACTGCCCAACCCCGATTTCCACCCTCTCTAGTTTTATCAGAATACAAATTTATTTGTAAAAACTAAAAAAAATCATTTCTTGTATACACATAGTCATATAGACTTCGGAAAATGAATCTGAGCTCAATAAGTAGCAGCAAAATGAATTTTTTTAAAGAAAACACACTACACTTACACAAAATAGCTCAATAAATCTTCTGTCAATAGCTTACCAAATTTCGTGTGAGGAAATTAAGAACTAAATATATAATTCTTTCGAGCATTTTCCCTAAATTCTTTGAAAACTCTTAATTCTGTGCTTTAGAAGAATGCGAGTTATGCAGCGATATTTAGAAAGTACTTTAGAGTTCAGGAATGGAATTCTAATCAAATACTATCATCTTCAAAGTAAACCTTCAGAGATTCATTTGCAAAATGAATTGTAATTTAAAAATGAAACTAGCTTTTTCATTGTTATCCTCGTTATAACTAGACAAAAAGTAATATTTCAACGGCAGATAAGGAAATTCGTTTCTCATATTAAATATAATAAATGAAGAGTAATGTATTATTGTGTTATTGCATTTGATTCTTGATGAAGAAAGAGTTAATTTAAGTATAATATTCAACTTTTTTTTAGTCATCAAGTTAAATTGGATCAACAGGTAAAAAAGAGCCAATTTTTATCGTGTATTGCTGAATAATGCAGTGCAGTCTGAGAATTTCTTTTCTGTAAACAAAGCCCACTTCACTTGAAAGATCAAACAGATAAAAACTATATTAAATCGGTGAAATTATAGCATTAATGGTATCTATACACAGGAGATTTTGAATTACACCAATTAAATATTTTTAAAAATATACATCATTGCAAGCAATTTTTGCAATGAAAAATAGAGTTGCATCTTTTGCTAAGCAAAATAACAGTCAATATAATTTATACAGCAAAGAAAAACATAAAATGAATTATTCACTTTTATAAGTGTTGTGTTGTTGTTACTAATGCTAAATGTTTGATAGTGTCAGGGCGAGGCGCACGAAAATGATGGTGGCAAGAAGTTAGAATACGTTTGTCATTTTGATAGCTGCCATGAGCACCATGCAGCTAACACTTCATCTTGGCTCCTTTCCACCCCAGAGTTGAGGAAGAACACCCCGGGAATCTCCCAACAACCTTTCCGGAGAACTTTCGGCTGGACGAATATTTAAGAGTGCCCCCTTGCAACTCAGGCATTAAACATTTATAAACATCTATGTTTTTTCCGGAGCTGGAATTCGGACCCTCGGCACAGCAGTCAGCGTCACCAATCACTATCCCATCTAAGTGGCTAGACCAGGGATGGCGAACCAGGGGAACGCGTGCCATCAATAGCACGCGATATAATATTTTGGGCATAGCAGTGATCAAAATTGTTTGCATTTTATTTCAAAATAACAAGGTTCACTATGAAGTAATACGAATAAACGCGAATGATCGGTCGCGGAACGGCAGGGAGCACACTCCTTGCCTTAATTACGTATTGGACTACAGTTGCTAATGGCGCAAAATTTGTCTACGCATAGCATAGTCAATTTGTTAACACACAACTGTATTTTAAAGTTTATTTGTGTTAAATTTATGATTTTTAACTGTTATTTTTTTTAAACCGGTGTAGTTCAGCAAAGGAACAAAAAGTGCAATGAAGTAAGTGTAACAGAGAATTTCAAATTTGGTAAGTGAAGAAATATGTCATTATTAGTAAAGGCGGCAAAGCGGTGTATGCTTTTTGTCCTGGAACAGCTATATGCAGAACATGGTCTGTAAAACGGCATTTTGAAACAAATTACAAATATTCTTGTCAAAAAAATGAACCACAGCAAAAATAATTAATTGCTTATAAAACATTTGGCAGATGACTCCAATTCAGCATGCATTCTACTAAAAGATACAACTTACAATCCAATTAATACTTATTTGTATCCAATCTGCAATAACAAAAGTCACATTGATGTTGCTTTAATTTTAATTACACGCATAAGTAAAATATATTTACAACTATACACAGCAAAAGGTATTTTTTCGTTGTAAATTAAGAGATTTGAGTTGTTAGTATTTAGTTTTATTACTTTCTCGATAATCACAAGTCAAAATTATGTGATGGCATATCTCTATACCTCATTAAACACTTCTTTATAAAAAAATGGCACATTGATCCATAAATATTCGACATCCCTGGGATAGACTTTACAGAAAGGAAAGGGAGAAAAGGGATTTTTTAGAAGTAGAAATATCTGGTTAAAGTTATCATTGGATATATTGTTGCACGGTTCATTACGACGATTAATTAATAATTTGAGTGAGTGAGTTATTTTAACGTTGCGTTATAATGCTGCATGAAAGCTATTGGCGCAGACCTTGTAATTTTGAGCCTCGGTCAAGTGACAAAGATGACATCTGATCTGGCAACCCATCTCCAAACTCCCACATTACGTCAACTAGAACAGCATTAAGACACGATAGGTTTAATGTGCAACAACCCCTCTACACCCTCATCTTTCAGTGGCATCAGGACTCGAGACCCCAGCACACCGGCCACGAGTTCGTGACCATAACTACTAGACTACCACGGCCTTTCCCGAGATGAAACCAATTCTTTAGAGAGCACATAATTTAAAAAAGCATGCTTCCATGAGTACAATTCATCGTAGAAGTAATATTTTTTATTCTTTTTACCTAGATGGGAAAAAGATATACAGGCATTAACCACTTATATATTAATAAATGTAATTCAAACTAATGTAAAATATATAAAAACCAATTTAAATATAATACATAATTTATTTTTTTACATTACACTTTGGAGCTGCACGATATACTGGCGATAAACTTTTTAATTTTGATCCTTGTTGAAATGACGAGGTTGTCACGTAGCTGGCACCCCACTCTCCAATACTTTCCCACAACGGCATTATGTGGATTTTGAACCTTAAAAAACTTTACGTGGATCTGCTCCTTTACACCAATTGTTTTCAAAGTGATGTATGAATATCCTAGAGTGGTACTTGGGGTACTTAAAATAAGGCTCATGATTATAAATATGTATATTATATTGTGTATTATATTCCATATAATTATAATCTTTTTAGGTATATGTTATCACCCGTTATGTAGACCGAAATCCTCATCATCCTTTTTCAGGGGCACCAATGAGTGAGTGAATGAGGGAATATTAACGTCGCACTGTTAAGCTACACGAGGGCTTTTGGTGACGGACCACGTAATTTTGAACCATGGTCAAGTGACGTGGATGACCCCCTCTCCTAACTACCACACCACACCAACGGGAGGACGTTTGAGCTCTCGACAGATTTAGCGTGCATCACTGCCCTACACGGCGGGTCTTTAGTGGTACTGGTCAGTGGCACCAATACTAACTCGATAACGCCAACTACGAGATCGCGACCATGACCACTCGGGTGCTTCGAGTGGCCACGGTAGCCTAGTAGTCATGGTCACAGACTTGGGACTGGCGTGTAAAGCGTTAGAGGCCTAGTGCCACCAAAACCTCGCCCTGCAGAGGGGATGACGCACGTTATATCGGCCGTTACTCTAAGTCCTTACGCTGGCGAGGTGTGGATAGAAGGGGGGTGTACCAGCTCACATGTCATCCTCGTTAATTGGCCCTAGTTTAAAATTAAGAAATCCATTACCGTGTTTCTTTATAGTGCGTTGCTAATCAACACTCACTCGTGTATCTTGGTCACATAAAGTCACATTCACACCAAGGCTGTCAGCGTCGAGTGTCTAGCCAATCGGAGA